TAACAAAGTCACCAGAGAAGCCTTTCATGGGAAAAGAGAAAAGAATACCATCAAAAATAAATAAATAATAAACATAAGATGAAGCCAGAGTGACAAGTCAAGCCCTCAATTCATCAGAGCAGTCCTGTGTTGGACTCACTAAAATCTACCTGTGCATCCTCTCCTCTGGGATGGCTGGCCTCCTGCTCTTCCAACACCAATTCATGAATATCATCTGCAACCATGCCTCTTCTCCTTTTAACATCTGTTAAGTTGAAGCCACCTAGCTGTTGAAGTAATAAATCAAAATCCAACCATTTGTGTGGACAGAGAAATAATTCTGATCCTGAATGTCCACAGCTCCTTCCCACAAGAACCAGCTGCAATCCTCAGAAATGGTAGGTAATCCTGACTTTTAACAGGCACAGAGGAAAATCACTTCTCAGGAAGAAGGGACTGGTCCTATTTCATTCCTGATGCTACAACGACATCTAGTGATCAACTAAAGTGTCATTCTGAAGACCCTCCTGTGATTTTGAAGGCTTTGTATTTATCCACTCTGACCACTTCCATGTCCCAGAGGTTCAGGGAAAGATCTCAGAGCTGGCAGAAGATAATTGTTGCTAGGCCTGGTGATGCAAAACTGTTATCCAGCCTACTTGAGAGGCTGAGGCCCGGAAATCACAACTTCAAGACTAGCCTGGGCACCTACCCTGGGCTCCAAATAAAACACATAAAGAGGGTAGAGATAGAGCTGGCAGAACACTTGCCTAGTACATGTCAGCTGCTAGGGTCAATCACAATTATAATTGTTTATCAAACGACTGAGCATGAAGTGTGTCTGTGACTTTAGGGTGGATTTATGCTCAGTAATTATCCATGTGCTTACTTTATCCGTGCAGCCACCAATGAGAACAATGAGAAAGGTCGTTAGCATTTCTGTGGAGCATTTGTTCACCTATTCAGCCCATCTTTTCCTCTAAGCTGTTGATGTGTCTGTCATAGTATTTTATGGGTCTTTCTTCCAGTTCAGGCATCTCAGATGTCCACAGCACTGTCTAATCCTGGTCTATCCTGCAGCTTCCAGTATCTGATAGCACTGTTCTCTCCTGGTCTAGCCTGCAGTTCCCTGCATCTGATAGCACTGTTCTCTCCTGGTCTAGCCTGCAGTTCCCTGTATCTGATAGCACTGTCCTCTCCTGGTCTAGCCTGCAGTTCCCAGCATCTGATAGCACTGTCCTCTCCTGGTCTAACCTGCAATTCCCAGCATCTGATAGCACTGTCCTCTCTTGGTCTAGCCTACAATTCCCTGCATCTGCATGATTTTCTCCTTTGTTGCTTGTGCATATATTCTTCTATACTGCTTTTTATATTTTAAGTTGCATGTTGCACATTACAGGACAGAAGAGATAGGGGAAGCTAAAGGTATTTCCTCATCTCAGACACAGGGCTTTTAAGCCATTGCAAGCAGCGATGCTGAGGGGCTCTCTTCTTCACAGAACCAGGCTAAAGTAGCTCCAAGTCTGCTGTGACCTGAAGGGGAGGTAGGTCTTTTCCTTCCAGCTAGGTGTTAAGACACATCACCACAGCCAAACTTCAGTCTCTGCTTCCACTACTTTCCCCGTCTCTCACTTGCCAGTATTAGGGACCACCATGGCAGCATGCACAGGGAACTCTGAGGCCTGCAGCCAGTGTTGACTTCTCTGAGACTGAAGTTGTCAGAAAGGGAAGTACATGTGTGGACTGAGTGCATGCCCTTGCAGCCTACAGTGAGACCCTTGCAAACTCCTCCAATGTCTCAGGAATAGCTCCCAAATCCAAAGAGCTTCAAGTTTATGTGAGCCCCTCACAGAAAACCAAACCAAGTTTTACTCAGTGGGGTCAGCACACAGCAAGACACTTCAGCTAACCTAAACAATCTACTGAAAACATAAAGTAGTGGTTCATACCTATAATCCCAGCACTCAGGAGGTAGAGGCAAGTGGATCTCTTTGAGTTCAAGGCCACTCTGATCAACACACAGTGAGGACCAGGACAGCCAGGACAACATAGTGAGACACTGCCTTGGAACAGAAATCTACTGGAGCCCTATTGTATACAACATGGGGTCAAGAAAGCCTGAAAAGTCACTTTCACAAGTTGAAAGACCAGGGAATTGAATTTGACAAATTGATGTTGGGCTATACATGATATGTACCAAAGCCTCTAATGTTGATAATTCCAAATATTAAAATATGGTGCCACCTCTTGACCAGGGGGTACACGTCATCAGGCCTGTGATTTCTATGCCCACTGTGTCTACTTATTCAATACATGAAACAGTCTGCCCAGGAAAAATGCCCAATGTGGAGCTAGGCTAGAGTTCAATAGTAGATCTGTTGCCTAGCAAGTGGGAAAACAGGGGTATATCCACAACATTGTGGGGACTAACAAGATAAATGGACAAAAGTCAATCTTTTTATTCTTCAGTGGCATCTGGAGACATCATTAAACTAGAAGAACATGGCCAGAAAAAATGGGTCAGTGGGTAAGAGAGCAACCTGCCAAGCCTGATAACCAGAGATCAATATCCTAAACTCAAGATAGAAGGAAAGGAGCAACTCTTCTAAGCTGTCTTCTGACCTCCACATACATGGCATGGTGAATATTCACACGTATACTCCCAAACACAATAGGTAATCAACCAATCTGAAGAGTGCTGGTGCCACTGTACCCATGTTCTCCTCTATCCACAACCTCCAAGCCCTGCATGCCATTCCTCTGTACTGAGGCCAGTATTTGGATCAAGTGCAAAGCAGGGCCAGGAAGTTCATAATCTGTGTCTTAATTGTTGAGGGCATGGATAAAGCTGGTATCCTCTGTCAGGCAGTGTTGTATCACGGAGTACTCCAAGCCAGCTATGAAGCAAGCACAGGAGAATCCACAATTAAAATCTGAAATAATCCAGAATCCAAAGTATCTTGAAAAAACATTAGATTTTTAGGACAATTTCCAGCTTCGAGTTTTCAGATTAAGATACTTCAATCAGCAGATTCATGCCAATATTCCCCAGGTTCAGAAAACTCCAAAGTAAGAGATACTTCTGGTCCCAGAACATCTTATTTTGGATAAGATGGGAAATATTCACCTCTGCTGCTCTCCTGCTGTTACACACAGGGGTTTCTTCTGTGAAAGCACAAGAAGGCCTGTCTCTCACACACATTCCAAAGAACCAGAACTGGACACAGTAGTGATCTACAGTCCCTTCCCCAGGCAGGCTGAGACACATGTATGCATGGGTGTACACACATTTCATATAGCAAATGAAATAAAAGAGTAATGAAACTTGGTAGATTACAACTCTGATGATTAACCAGGCCTTCTGGCTCTAATTGCATGCTTGGAGGTAATTCATCTAATCCCTAATTTTTAAGTGGTGTTGGGAAACTCCAGTAGAAATGTGTTTCCTTAATTTGAATGTGAAGGGGGCTATAGAGAGTAATTCCCACTGTCACCAGAAGTCATTGGATAAATGGATCTCCGGCACTTATGGAACAAGTGGTTTGAATCTGCAGTGTCCCCCAGAGGCTCATGTTTTGAGTACTTGTTCCCTAGCTGGTGGTAATATTTGGAAAGACTATGGAACCCTCAGGAAGCCCAGCCTTCCTGGAGGACGTGTACAATTAGGAGTGGCCTTTGAGTTTATAGCCCAGACACCGTTCTAGCCTATGTCATGGTCAGCCATGGCATGAGCAACCACTGCCACACACTTCCGCGGCCATGAACTGAGCCACTCCAGCATGCCCACTCCGCTGTGACGGACTGCAGATCACAGACCCTGAGCCAAAGTAAACCTTTCCCCCCCTATTTTCTGTGTGTATGGTGTCACAAGAAATAAACTAAGGGGCTAGCAAGATGGTACTGTGGGTATGCTGGCTAGTTTTGTGACAACTTGATATGAGTTCACCTGAGTGCAGGATGAAACTGAGGTTTCAGTTGAGAAAATGCCTCCGGAAGATCCGGCTGTTGGTAAACATGCAGGGCATTTTCTTAATTAGTGATTGATGTGGGAGGGCCCACCTCATTGTGGCTGCTACCACTCCTGGGCAGGTGGTCCGAGGTTCTGTAAGAAAACAGACTGAGCAAACACAGAGGGGTAAGCCAGTAAGCATCACTCCTCCATGGCCTCTGCATCACCCCTACCTTCAGATTCATTCGCCTTTGAGTTCCTGCCTTGGCTTGCCTCAATGGCCTGTGACTCAGGACATGAATAAATTTATATAAACCCTTCCTCTCCATCTTACTTTAGGTCATAGTCTTTCATCACAGCAACAGGAATCCTAACTAACACAGTGGGTAAATATGCTGCTGCCAAACCTGATGGCAGGGCTTCCATTTCAGGGGCACAGAGTGAACGGAGAGAACTGACTCCTACACTTGTCCTAGACCTTCACACACGCACTGTGGTACGCACATACCACATACACACAGACACACATAATAACTGTAAAAGAAGAAAAGGGGGCTGGAGAGATGGCTCCGTGGTCAAAAGCTCTCGTTGTTCTGGAGGACCTGGGTTCAATTCCAAGCACCCACACAGCAGCTCACAATTATAACTCCAGTTCCAGGGTACCTGATGCCCTTATATTGATACACATGCAGGGGAAAAGCCAATGCACATAAATAAAAATAAAAAACAATAATAAAAAAAAAGAAAAAAGAAAGTAACCCGTCATTCACTAATTTTCAAATACAGAAGTGTTTAATAACTGAAACTTATTCTTGATTTTCTATATGAAAACTTTCTTCAGTCTTCAATATGGCAAGCCTTAGAGTAGCAAGCAAAATAGTCTGTGCAAGTGCAGCAAAATGCAAGCTATAGAAGCATTTACTGCCTGGAGTGGGTGAGTGTAAGTGCTGGTACACGCGTGCCATGGCATGTGTGGAGGTCAGAGGTCAACTCTCTGGAGTCAGATCTTTTCTGTCCTGGTGGAATTTGTCAATGGAATTGAATGGTCAGATTTAGACGGTAAACACTTTACCTGCTGAGCCATCTCACCAATCCTACTTCAAGTTTTCCATACTAAGTTGTTGGAGGTGGGTGGAGTCACCGCCATGTCACTGAACCGCAACTTCTCACAGAATTTTCACAGATTCGCTTGTGGAAAAATACGTGCATATCCATGATGCAAAGGCTATCGCTCATTGCTATAAAAGGGAAAAATTAAAGTGTCATTTCTATAAGATGAATTTTTAAATAAGCAAAAACATTTCCTTACCCATTATGAAATCTCTCAGTGTATTTGTATAATTTTTCTATATAGATTTGGTGTCATTTACCATTTTTCCATAACCATCATAAACATTGTGACTATCTAACCTGTAAGGTGACCCTACTTCAGCTGTTCTTTAAGAACACCTCACCTGAGAACATCCTCTAAAAATACAGATTCTGGGCTGCTCAGGGGTGCTGCTCATCCAGAGGTCCCAGCACCCACAGTGGGTGGCTCCAAACCATTTGTAACTCCAGATCCAGTGGAACTCTTCTCTAGCCTCTATGAGAACTGGCACAGGTACAGTGAGCACACATGTGCACATGTGTGTATGAACACACACACACACACACACACATGCACACCACACACACACACAAACATGCAAACTTGTTTTGTTTTCAAGACAGAATTTCTCTGGCAAATTTTTAAAATCCTTTTTAAAAACAGATTCTAGGTACTCATCTGCTAGGCAACTCTTCTAAGAGATGCCTAGGAATCAGAGTTTTTGAAGCCTTTCATTTGTTTGCTTTTTTAAACAGGGTCCTACTGTGTATGCTAAGAGTCTCAAACTCTCTACCCTCCTAGCCCAGCATTCTGTGTGCTAGGATTATAGATGTGCACTCTATCGCCCACGTGATAAATTAATTTACCAAATAAATCAGCATATATTTCATTTGCTCAGCCCATCACTGTCAAATATTGTTCTGAGACTTTGCTATCATAAAGAATAATCACAAGAATTCTAATAGATATCTCTTGTCAAGCACTGTTTTCTGAAGACAACAAAGTAGAGGCATCTCCTTCTTAAAGAGCAAATATTTAGTAAGCAGACAACTGTAGTCACTGTTGCTCTGGGGAACTGTTAATCTACTGTAATCTAAATATCAGAGGGAACATTGGCAGATACTCAAAGTTATGCTGGCTATCTGAAAAGAGTTCATTAAGTGGTTTCTAATAACTTAGAGATAGGACTCAGCAGCTAAGAGCACCTGCTGTTCTTCCAAGGTTCAGGAGTCAATGTACATGGAACCCACAAAGGATTACAACCATCTGTGCTAAGTCCACCTCCAGAGAGAATCTGGCTCCCTCTTCTGGCCTCTAAAGGCACTGCACACACACAGTGCACATAGCTACATAAAGACAAAAGACTATAAAATAGAGCCAGGCATGGTAGTACATGCCTTTAATCCCAGCACTTGAGAGGCAGGAAGGGTGATCTCTGCGAGTTCCAGACCAGCCTGGTCTACAAAGTGAGTTACATGACAGCTAGGGCTGTTACACAGAAAAACCCTGTCTTGGAAAACCAAAAAGAAAAACCACTCACAAAATAAAAATAGTTCTTTTAAAAATAGAAACTCCTAAGAACCTGAAAGAGACTAGCCTTCGCCTGTCACTATATCCACAGAAGTCATCTACGACCTACAAAATGACTGCTGTTTTTGTTATCTAACCCAGCCTCACCCCTGCAGCTCTGGGAATCAAACTCAGGGCCTCACTGTACAAAGCAAGTGTTCTACCACAGAGCTACACCTAGTCCGCTGCTGTCTTGTGCTTCTCTAAGTTCATAACTGAGAGGGGGAATAGCTTAGTGGTACACAGCATAAGTTAGTCCTGAGTTGATCCTAAGCATCAATAGTTAACTTTTTAAAGAAAAGTAAAACAAAAGCTCACATATAATATTCTAATTATGTCATAGTAACTATAGCAACATCATTTGCTTGAAAAACATCACTACAATTTTAAATGTCTCACCACAGAAACAATTATATGAGGGTATTGCGTTAATTAGTATGATTTAGCTATTCTTCACAATGCATAATTTGAAAGTGTCATTTTAAATGTCATAAATATATACAATTTTTGTCAAGTAATCTTTTAAAATGTTTTAATCCCAGCACTCTTGGGACTGAAGCAGGTAGAGTTTGTGGCCAGTTTGAGCTACATATCCAGTGCCAGGACAGTCAGGCCTACAAAGACCCCGTCACAAAAAGAAATCAAGTGGTACAATATTGAGTTCACATGTTGAGTCCCCAAGGGCACTTTCTCAAACAGTCTTATAGATGCTAAACTAGTTGCAGGCCTTTGCAATTGCAACACATTTAGTGTCCATCCTGCTGCTGTCAGGCTGGCCTCAAGCTCTAAAGCATATGTGTGTTAGTATGTCCTCCACTGCTTACGATCAGAAAGGCACACAGTTATCACCCAAAGAGATATAAAGCCTATGTTTCTTAAACAAGGATGTGGTGGTGTTTGCCCAAGTTTCTCTGAGACTTCTTTTCCCTTCTTTAAAAGGTTGCATAGTACTCAGTTTTAAAAATCACTGACTACAGAGAGGGCAGGGACAATAACTCTGCTTTCTCTCACCCACCATTTAAGTTAAAGCAGCACTCATGAGAAGTTAAGGGCAGTGCTGGACAGAACCCAGACAACCTGAGAAGGTTGGGCTGGGCCTCCGTGTCCCAGATCTCTAGTTATGAGAATTACTTTTTGTCTTTTATCATACCGACAGAAACTAATGCTCCCAGTCTCAAGAACGCTTTCTGGGTTAGAGGCAGTCAGAGAGGCAGGGGGATTCTAACGCTCCAGGAGCTGAGACAGGACTATGACACTTCCGTCCTCAGTCTGGGCTACATAGCAAGTGCCTGGGCTCCACAGGGAGACTTTCGTCTTCATAGGGGAAAATTAATTTTAAAAAGTACGCGTTCTGAGAGCAAAAGCAGATAAAGCTACTCTCCTTTTTTATTCATAGAAAAGGGACCCTTAAACGGGATCATAAAACTTAGTACTTCGTAGCTGAGACGGAAGGAAATTCCCGGACACCGTTATAAAATGGTAGTAGTATCTGTGAGGGAATTCTAGACCAGCCAGCGTCACAAGAGCCCCTTGCTAAACAAAAAAACAAATAAGCAGTTGGCAGTGGTTCACGCCATAATAGAGAGGAGAGAAAGAGAGAGAGACAGAGACAGAGACATAGAGACAACAGGGGCGGTGGTGGTTCAGGCCTTTAATCCCGGCACTCAGAGAGCAGAGGCAGGCAGATGTCTAAGTCTGAGGGCACCTGGTCTACGGTGAGTTCCCCAGGGCGGCCCGGGTTGTTACACAGAGAAACCCTGTCTCAAACACGCTAAAAGAATCCTAAGACCTCACTACAGCCATTACCTCCACTATTTCAGGCCCATTTCCGCCCTCCCTGTCCCCAATCTCCCTTGCGTCTCTTCCATGACAGCTGGCCTCGCTATACTTCATTAATTCTGACCTGTGACCCGACTCTTCCAACTGGTGAGAGACTCAAACGAAAGATGGCACAGAAAACAGACTCCATCAGGCAGAGAAGGGGAGGTTAGCTCGCCCCTCCCTTGGCGGCGGAGCTAAACCTAAGGCGCACGTACCGCCAGACGCCGACGCGCGTCGATGACGTCACGCAAGGCGCCATCTCTGAAATCTGGTCGCAGCGCGCTGTTGCCCTCTGGACCAAGTCTGTTTGTGTATTGGGCATAACGGATTTTTCTAGAGGAAATTTAGCCAAGAAAGAGTCTTTGTGACTGAAAGCTGCAGAACAAAACGAAGAAAGAGAAAGAAGAGTGAGACCTGAAGGAGACGTCATCAGAGCGCCCCGAAAGTGTTCCTACGATGAAGGGTAAGCGGGATGAGAGACACGAAATTGGGCACGGATCACAGTGTAGAGAGGGCTGGGACTGGAAGCTGAATCACGGATACCTGTCGCAAAGAGTCCCAAGACAATGTCCAGGGACTTGATTCAGCACACAAAAGAAATCGAGGCCCAGAGTGTGAATCGGCCCGACTCTGTCTCTAAGCTAGGAATAGATGTCGGGATCGAGTGTGTGTTCACCCAAGGAAACTAGAAGAGGTGGAGCCAAGGCCTTGGCCAGAACTAGGCCCTACCTGCCCTGATAACTGTTGCCAAGTGCCTGCTCCCCTCTACAGCCTGGCTTTTCACATTTCGTAGTGTAAAAAGCTTCCTAGTCGCAGTATCTCAAACCTAAGGCATTGGTATTTGACAGAACACAGATGTGTCGGGAAGGGGAAGCAAGCATTGGAGCACTATTAGAGGAGAGAGTGGATACGATCAAGATGATTCACACTCATGCCATGTCCTTTTATCAGAGATCTCATGCCTTAGCATATCTCAACTTCAATATTATTATGCGCATAGAGAAATTCCCAGGAATCCACAAGGATGACCCCAGCTAAGACCCCAAGCAATAGTGAAGAGGATGCCTGAACTGGCCTTGCCATGTAGTCAAATTGATGACTATTTTAAATGTCATCATAAAACCATCATCCAGCAACTGATGGAAGCAGATGCAGAGATCCACAGTGAAGCACTGGACTGAACTCCCAATGTCCAGTCAAGGAGCGGCGAAAATATGAGCAAAAGGGTCAAGACCATAGTGGGGATACCCACTGAAACAGCTTACCTGAGCTAATGGGAACTCACCGACTCTGGCCTGACAGAGTACCAGCATAGTACCAAACTAGGCCCTCTAGTTTATAGTGACAGTTGTATGACTGGGGCCACTGGCAGTGAGACCAGGATTTATCCCTATTGCTTGTACTGGCTTTTTGGAACCCATTCTCTTTGGAGGGATACCTTGCTCAGTCTAGATATACTGGGGAGGGCCTTGGTCTTGCTAGACTTTGGTGACTTCCCATGGGAAGTCTTTCCCTCTCTGAAGAGTGGATGGGGGTAGGGTGGGGGAGAAGGTGAAGCGAATGGGAGGAGAGGAGGGAGTAGGAGCTGGGATTGGTATGTAAAATGTGAAGAGATGGTTTTTTAAAAAAATAAATTTTAAAAATATTATGGGCATAGTTAGGGATGACTAATATAAAATTGCTTAGACGAATTAATGAGACTAAAGTAAATGTGTACACACACTTCTGAGTGTATTTGTGTCCTTTTAAATCAACTGCTTGACAAGCAATGAGTATACCAGAGCTGTTACACGTGTACTGATGCAGAAAGACTTCCAATTCTGATGATAGGCATCTGAGGTAGGTAAAACAAAGTTATTCCTAGGGTCCCAGACCCTGCACATTTTTCTCAGTAAACAAACTCAATCTGCAGTTTAAGGGAGAACCAGATTCTATATGTAATTAAGCAGCATTCAGAAGGGCCAGGGCATGGATCCAAGGTGAAGCACTTGCCTGGCATGCATTAAACGCCACTGAGTTTAACCCCCCAACAATGCAGAGTAAACAGAAGGAACATCCAAGAAAGCTTTACCTTTTGATACTAACCCAATATTCCTTCTCTAAATAAGTGTAGTTATTGTCATAATTAGAAAAGCCTTGGATATTATACTCATTCCTAACAGAAGTAATCTTCTATTTTTGTGTTTGTCCCCCAGCTGTGATTTACCGTGCATTTTCTCACAAAGAAGCCAGAGAGCACGATGTGCAGGTACCGTCATTCAAAGGTGGGCTGGGAGCAGTAGACTTGACAGCAGAGCAGGCTCAGTGTCTTCTTAGACTGATCTAGCTGTTCTTTCCCATGGATTACTCATCCGCACAGGTCGTATTTTAGCCCAAATCAAGGTCTTTTTGGTTGGTGTCTTCATGTTCCAGGCTCCTTTCTTAGGGTACCAGAGAGTCAGCTCTGAGGCACTTGGACTCCTTAATTTCATGTCATCTCCCACTCCGTAGGGAATGACAGACAGCCTGTGCCTACCGAAAACCTGTCTTGATCTTGCTTCTGTGCCCCAGGCAGTGCTCAGCCGATTTCATAAGTGGATGTTACAGATTCTCTCTGGATGCTTCACAGGCTTTGTCAATTGGGCAGAAGCTTCGCCTGTGGCTCATTAAAGAGACCATATCCCACCAGGTTGTGTGGGGCACGCCTTTAATCCCAGAACTTGGAGGGAGAGGCAGGCAGCTCTCTGAGTTCAAGGATAGCCAGAGCTACACAGAGAAATTCTGTCTCAAAGAGAGAGAGAGAGAGAGAATATCCTTTAAATCAAGATGTTAAAAGGCCAGTTAACTTCCCCATGAAAGAGAGACAACGTATGTATTTAAAAGAACCAAATTGTCCTGCTATTGATGATGAATTGTTTAGCCATCCCTGACTTGAACTACCTCAAAGATTATGTATTCTGTCTTTTTACCTCCTGTATTAGCACAAAGAGGGTATCATTTACTATTGATATGTCAACCTAAAGCTGGCAGTTAGCTTCAGACTTGTTTTTATTGTCTGGTTGATGCAAAAATGGCCCAGCCCAGAGGTAGGCGCTCAGGAAAGAGCACTGCCCAGAGCTGCCGCAGATGAAGGCCGAGTGAGGTACCTGCGGCCAGTGTAGAATAGACTGTTGCTGCCCCAGTCTGAGAGGTGGGAAACTAGCGTGTTTCAGGACTGATGTGGCTGTGAAACAGTTTGCCCAGCCTTCCCCAGGAGTCCATGTAACTCTATATATGTCCTGTGGTTGAGAGTGGGTGTGCCCGAGATGCCCTTCACACTTTGTGCCTCAAAGTGGGGCTGGAGCAGACCTCTCCAAGAGCAGCCACGTGGGGTCCACAAGGCTGAAAAGGCAGGGAAGAGGACTGTGCTGCTCACTGTCAGAATTCTTCCTCCTCGACCTACCTGGACCTCCAGGCAGTTTTCCTTGTGCTGAAATGGCTCGTTTCCCTAACAACCCCAGCTCTCTTCCACTTCAAGCTAGTCTGTGGTCGTGACTTATTAAATAACCTGTGTTGTCCATTTCTCAAACTTCCTTCCCCACAAGGATTAGAGAAGGCTTGCATCACAAAGGATTTTGAATGCTCAGTAGAGTAACCTCAAGGACTCTTGAAGCAGGACTGGTCAGCGTTTGACCTGGCTGCATTGTGGGGCGGTGTCACAGTTAGCATGAGTGTGACTTTTACATCTAGGTAGTTGTATGTAGGAAACACTTGGCAGACAGGAGATGTGTGAGCCTAGCTCAACAAAGATGGTGGCTCTCAGGAATGGGATGAGTGTCTGGTTGTCTGAGAGCAGAACAGTGAACCACACCACCCTGTCTCTGAACAGGATCTGGGAACCCAGCAGGCTGAGACCTTTGTGAGGGCCTTCCTGAAACGGACCATCCCACACTTGAGCCAGCAAGACTGTGAGAGCCATCTGCAGCGCAAGGCTGTGGTCTTGGAATACTTCACTCGCCAGAAGCCAAAGCAGAAGAAGAAATCCAAAGGCCTCTCTTCCAAACAGAGGAGAGACATGAGGCTCTTTGACATTAACCCAGAGCAACAGAGGTACACCAGTCTTTCCCATGGCCTTGCCACTCACTATTGCATAGTCTTCCTGGTAGGGTTGTGAACTGGGGATTCCAGGGATTCCCTAGACAGCTCTGCCCCTTTAGTCTCAGGGGCTTCTCCGCCATCTGCCACAAGGGGGCAGCGGCCCGCTACCAATTTTCCTTTGTCTTGGCTTGGCCTCTAAAAGGCAGGCATTGGTCAGACTGAGGACTTTTCATCATTTAACTTCTCTCCTAGCCTCACTAATAAGTGTCTCCGTTGCCCATAGCAACAGGCTGTTTTCTTTTGACTTTCTAGAAAAGAGGAACTGATATTCTTTAATATGTACTTTCCTATACCCTTTAACATCACTAGACAGAATCACACACTCTAAGGTTGCTGCCAGGGAGAAGTCCTGCCTTCGCATTTCAGACGTTTCTGAAAGGAATGTGTCACTGTTTTGTGGAAGGATGTCTCCCTCGAGATGGTTCTGAGTTGTGTTTACAGCCACTGTGTTTAGGCTTTGTGTAACACTCCATAGCCACACAGCCTTTCTTGTCCCAGAAGACAAGAGAGTGTCGCTTTGCACTGGGGCTGCCTCCCTGGAGTCCTTGCAGGAAGTGCCTGTTTCAGATTCGAGCCTGGTGTTCTTGACTCTGATCCTGGCTTTGTATGAATGGGCACCAAGACAAATGATAACCCCAGAGAAAAGCTCTTGGTCCTTTACCCTCCCTTCCAGACAATTCTGCCACCTTACACAAGGGCCTGCCTGGCACCCTGCACCTCCTGTAACAGTGGGTTAAACAAGACTGTTGTTCATTTGTGCATTTCTCTTGGGAAAAGGAGATTGTGTGAACAGCACCTGGGTTGTTATGGCTGAGGCTACATCACCACCTTCAGATGCTCTCCTGCTCCGAGCCAGGGGCTCCTCCGTCATGCCCACAACTGGCCAGGAGGAAGGGCATCAAGGCAAAGGGCCCATCATCCCTTCTCGAGAGCAGAAATTTAGCCCTGAAAAGGTTCTGCCAGGGAAGAGATTGAGGTTCAAGAAGGGGAGTGCACTTGGCCTTGGTCATGTTGTCGTCACGGCACCTAGGGCTTCCACGCAGTCTCGGGTGCTCCCTCGTGCTCACTCTCGGCCTTGAGCCCAGCTCTGGATTGCCGAA